TTGTTCAGGAAACTCTACTGAATTTTGAGTAGAGGAAGTAGCATACTGCTTATGATTTAAATATTTTTCTGTGCTTAAAACATTCCTTTCTTCAGGGACTCTTTGAGTACCATTTAATCCCACCACACTTGAAAAATATTGCAAAGAATTTGAACTATTGCACTGTGGGTCCCTTTGTGAAATTTTCACATACCCATGTAGAGTATAGCCAGGTGTCCATGCTTGGTGTGAATATTTTTCCATATAATCATTTGGTTCTGAACTTGTAACTGACACAGAGTGTGCTCTCCTTGGACACATTAGGGGTTCTTGATATTTTTCATAACTAATACCTTTGGTATCTTTTTCAAAAACATAATTCTCATTGATACATAAATCATAGTCTCTCTTATCACCATGGTAATTCCAGAATTTCCTTGTATGTAACACGTCAAGACCACAATTTTCACCTAAGCCTGCTCTTTGTTCCTGTAAAGTATCTTGTTTGTACTTCTGTTGAAAAACCTCCTGAGTCTGGTAATATGACAGATCTGGAAAAATTAAAACAAACAAACTCTTGATTTGTAAAATGTTTAGAAAACAATATGAGAATATAATGCATAAAATGACAGAAGTTTGTGGAACATATCAAGGCTGTATAGTAGGAAATTTTCTAAGTTTGGCACTAGGAACTAAATGTGCTTATGAAAAATGTGTGTAATCCATGGAATGTTTGGTCTTTGTGAAGTCATATAACAGGCAAACTTACACAACAATCTTGGGTAAAAAATTGAAGCTCTCTCCCACTTGCCATGTAAATTGGAAACATGTCTATTAAATTTCTTGCTATGATTCTTTCTGCTTACACAATCATATTCCAGGAAATCACAGGGTTTTTTGTTGTTGTTGACTCTACTCCTTCTTGTGAACATCCACTTTTTTCCTTTTTCCTTAACAGGACAAGCTGGATTGCACCCCAACTCATTTTCTTCCACAAAGATAGCATGCCCTTCATCCCTTCTGTAGGCATACACCAGAACCTGATCAATCATGACTGCCATCCACTCTCAATTATTACTGTCCCACATAAGAGTGAGCAAGTAGGTCCATGCCAACATATCCTCTCATCCATATGCAACAAATGCACAAGTAATAAACTTTGTGTCATTTCCTGAACACATGATCAAGATAGAAACTACAACCTGTACTGCTAATTCTTACAAACATTATGAAGGACACTGTCCCTAGCAAGGGAGCATAGAATACTTCCCAATTCTCCTTCATGCAAATCATCAGCACTTTTGATCCCAGTCTGGTGATATATATTCCATACTTGTTCTCAGATTGGTGGTTCCACAATATCCCCTCATCCACATACCCTCACCAATCTCAGGTTCTAATC